GGTGGTGATAGGGGAGGGGGAGGGCGGGGTATTTTAAATCGAGAGAGCTCACAAAGAGTTTTGTTTAAAAATTAGATTTGGGTCGAGGTGACAACAAGAGTTTGTTAATCTCGGGGCAAGTTGTAATTTTTATGGCGTGTTGAGAGTAATGCGGACGGAGGACGAGGAGACAAATTATAATATTTTATCTACAATATGTTTGAGGAATGCATATCATAATTGCGGTTATATATAAAAATGGGAGCATGTATAGGTATTGTTATCGAATCTAATCAAACACACTGCTTGCTCTCTGAATTGGCAATTCAATTGAATGTACTAAAAGAGCGGAGGGCTAGGCTCCAGAAAACAGTTCCAAATTATATTTCTTACCCATAAGTCACTTACGAGTTTTTAACATTTTTGGTCTTTTCATAAACATTTATCTCACCTGTAGTACTATTACCTCATATCACCTGTTTATATTCTGAACCGTATAAGAACTGAAAATATTGTTTGCGCAATTCATGGTACAGACTGGAATAACCCGGTACAACATATATCCTCATTGGATTACTTTCATTTCGAGGATATGAGTAAACTTAAATTTGTAAGTAAACTTCGTACAATGCAAGTATGAGTCACAACCATCGACACAGAGTATGAATATTCAGATTTAGTAATACTAATTAATCAGCCTGTCAACGTTCACCTAGTACAATTATACTCATCAAGTTGAGTACTTCAGGATAAAACCGTCATTTTCGACAATCCCTTTCGTTTATTCATTAGGACACATGACAATGTAACTGTTTCTTAGTATTCCAGTTGGTTCAATGATATTAATGTTAAGAAGTGAATATACAACCAATAAATTACTATGGTCATTAACATACTACAATGAAGAAATCGCTTCTCACCTTTTCACCAGGTGTAAACAAATCTCCGAGTTTTCTTGGAAGTAACAACGTGTCAGAATCTTCTCGATTCTTCTGTAAAAAGAATAAACAACTTTGTAATTATTAATATTATTATCATTTATTATTATTAATATTTATTACTATCATCACCATCGGTTCGATTACCGGTCGAGGTGACTAAGAATTTGAAGTATTCCTCTTACACAGTCATGGATTGTTTTAGGGCAATTGAAAAATCCAAATTATGACAGAGTGGTTACAATGAATAACTCGTCTATTGTTTTCCTAGCTTACGGATAGGACTGAGGGCGAGTCGCTGGTGACTGGTCTAGGAACTAGTCTCCGGCGAGCCACCAGGTATTGTCCGATATAATTATATAATGCCTCCCCAAGGCCGGGAGCTGGAAGGAGAGAGGGACTCTGTCATCAAATCAGCAGCTTCAGCACCAATAATTTAAGACCTAACGATGTCAAGACGCACAAGAACCCAACTTTCCTGGGGAAACCGTGAAATACTTAGTATGTCCTTTCCATCCCAGAAAAGACGCGGTATTATTAAAAAAGACGATATTTTACCTGTATAGCAGGCAAGTTTTGCGGCTCACATCCAACAAATTCAGATATATGTTAAAAGGTATGTAATTTTTGAAAGATATGACAAAAAGCACTTCCATTTTATATACTTTTTTGTTATTTTTTTCTTGAGAGGTTACCGCCGGCTGCCTTCTACGCACATTCGAAAGTGCACTTGACACCAACACACTTGCGGGCTCCTCTAATCTGGGGTCACAGTTCCTTCATTCAATTAATTGACTGATTGTTTTAGTGATTCCGGTCACCTCAATTAAGAGGGTCATCACTCCCGTAAGTGTAGTGCATGTTTTTGCTTTGTCGATGGCCATGATCTTTCCCTCGTTGAATGGCGAGATCCGGCGCCGACCTACCGTCGGCTTGAGGGGTTTTCCCCAACCAGGTATCTCCCAACCAGGTATCACAAACGGGGCACCGCCCCAGTCTGGACGAGCTCTAGGCTCCCGACCGGTCTCCCGGCATGTGTGCTTGTGTAGTGTGTGTTAGTGTAAGTGTGTGTGTAAGGGGAGAAGATAGGAAATACCGCGCGCGGTCCGTGTGCTGTTTGTAGGGTACTGCTCCGGCGTTAACCCGGTGTTGATCGGATAAACCACACAAAACTGCCGATGAGAGCAGCCGGCAATTGGAATTCTCCTCCAGATAGCGACTGAATCCGTCCTAGCTGGCAAGCTAGTGTGGAAAATCCTGCCACTATCGGGACTCAAACCTATAGGACCTCCCGGTCAGAGGCCAGCAGTGACATCAGTCGAAGCTCCGAACCATCTAGCCCGGCCCCTTCGTTCAAGAAATATTTCGAAGAGGTTAAATGCATGTAATAGTACAGACATACACGCCGCTTCTAATTCGCAGCCCACGTTCCGGCACTGCATGCGCATGAACGAAGAAAAGCTGCACGCATGCCGGCTGGAGGCTTGGATGCTCGCTTGTCGATGCAGCAGGGCTCGGGCAGCCGCTCGCGCGGGTAACGGAGGCCATTCCGGCGTTACAAGCGAGTCGTTCTGCATTACAGCGCACTAGCTAAGCTCAACACTAGTGCGCCTCTACTGAATGCGTGCATGTGATGGCTGGGTGAGGGTTGTGTGTTTGCATTGAAACTCGATGATCTTATAGAGCTGGAAACTGCATGATTACTCGCTGGAGAGAATTTCGAGTGAATGTGATATTCAATCATTAAGAGAAGAAACCGTACTAAGGATTGTAGACGCAGTGCGGTGTACAGTTCATGAATAGATTAGAGAAGAATTGGGGTATGAGCAACACAGCAAATGCTACCAAACATTTTGTCCCAGAAAAGACATTTCGTATTGAAACACGGGGTATTTGTTTTATCTCCTCCGGTTATTTATTTTCGTCCTTCAAGGTATTATGTATTCTATGCGTTACATTTAAATATGTAAACTTTACAATTATAACACATTGAAAACTACTTCATTTACAAGTCAATTATGTCTGGTGAATTTCGAAGTTGATGTGTACTTTTCAGTCTCTTCACATATACTCATATTGCTTCTAACCAGAGGTTTTAGGCCTTCGTGGATTGGACGTTTAGGTTACTCTAAGGATCTTCCCCAACGTTTCTGAAGTAAATGAAGTAAAGCACGCTTACGTAATTATGGTGTGCAATTTATGTGAGTATTCCACTCGTGAAATTAAAACCAATAGTATTTAACTATACATACAAAATGCTTCAATCAGGGCGGTGTATCTCAAAAAGTTCATTTCTTTTTCTATCCGATTTTTCTTACCACGTCTCCCTACTGACTATACGTTGACTCATCGATCTTAAGAGGCGGAATACATTGATCGCTATGTCGACGATCAATAAACCGTGTATGTGCACTAACATAAACTCTTTGATTTTAACGTAGCTTTCAGATAGTTTCAATATTTGGCGCATTTTGGAACTCAGTTAAACGTAATTTCATTCTTGGAATGGTCATATTAACTACCACTCGTGCATTGAAAATTCCCAGATAAATCGCCTACTCGCTTAGAGAGTAGGGGATTTATCGACAAATTCCAAACGCTCGTGGTACAACTTATGAAAAACAACTTTGTGAATCTTATCGTGCAAATATGAAAGATAGGAAAGCACACCTGTTAACAACACTGTAATAAATCAGAAGCATTTTGAACATCGCTTCTAAGATATCATAGCAGAACGTTGCTACAGGAAATACAACGCAACTCAAGAAGAGATTCAAACAAGCCTCCGAAATACATGCAATGCAGAAAGCAATTAACTTTTATAATGTATTTACCGATCATCACTTCAATATCAATTATAATATTTCTTTGAAGCAAGCTCTCTTTGTAGTGAATGTTGAAATGAGAATTGATTAACTCTGCTACCAATTAACGAAGCCTTAAGTTATCAGATGAAGTAGTGAGAAAATAAAACAAATTTAGTTTCAATTAGATCCACAATTTTCAGAAAATTATATCAGTAGTATAAAAACGGGATTGATTGTAAGTCGCAACTTGAGTGTAAGACATCAAAATCATTGAAGGTGAGAATACAAGGGTCGCTTCTCTAACTAGTACACGGAAAACTCAAGAACGATATAAAAAGCTCATTTTTTAACTTAAAATACTACAATGTCAGTGAATACGAAGTTTTTATGTTTCTTGTGATTTTTTCAATCACGCAATTCCTTATAAAATTTCTGACAATGTCCAAAGTCGAGAATGATCCCAATCTTATTTTGGCACCAATGGATACAGTAATCATGTAAGATTACGTTACAAACTTCATTATACGGTGTAAAAGTTTGTTGAAAATAATAATGAAAGCGTAATTTTACCGTTTAATTTCATTGAAAACATCAGATAATTACACATCAAAATCAGTATTCTTCTTGTTGTTCTCAAACGATCGAAGTATCCTTTTATTAAGAGGACTAGTGTTATGCGAAATCATATCAATATAATTTTCTATTAACAATAATTCGCAAAATAGTTTAATAGTACTAGGAAAGATATGTTCGAGTCAAATGATTTCAGGAAATGTATTACTGAAATTCTATCAATGAGTTACAATTAAAATTTTGACGGTGAGATTCGGCACCGGCATGCTCATCGCCTATTCGTATATCGCCCACAGCGGGATACCGCCGTTGCCGGGATAAGATCTCCGTTCCCGACTGGTCTTCCGACATGTGTGGTAGTGTAGTCCATGTAAGTGGAATGGTGTTTATGTAAGGGATGAGGATAGGACAAGGAAGAAAAATGAATGATCGCGCGCGGGTCGTAACTCGTTTGTTAGGGTAGTGCTCTAGCATTCACTTTGTATTAATGGAAGAAACCACGGAAAACCACCGATCAGACCAGCCGGCCGCTAGAATTCTTCTCCAGACAGCGGTCGAATTCGATCTAGCTCTCGAGCTAACCTCTAGAAAATCTTGCTGCCGGTGGGATTCGAACCCCAGAACCTCTCGGTGAGAGGCACAGCGGCGAGATCAGTTGATGCTCTGAGCCACATGAGTTTGTGTCTCTATTGTTAGTATGGCGCGCGATAATGACGCACCAATGTGGTATATGCGCTGGTACTCAAAGGGGGCTGCATTACTGAAATTAATTAATAGTAGAATGGGAGGCACCAGGGTCAGAAGAACCCCAATAAAATCTGTCGCGCCCACTTTTTTTACTTTCTTGAATCTACCTGCAACGGAATCCAGCTGTCAGCGATGGAAGGTGAGTAGTGTGACTCCCACATCACCGACCGCTCTAATATTTTTTTCAATTATTCATCAGACCGGCTGAGGTGGCTCACGGCACCAATTAATTTCAACGCAGTGCCTCTGAACGAGAGGTACGAATCTACAAGTCTCGACGACGGTGGCAGATTTTTCGGCAATAGTTGCACAGCTAGTCGGGAGGGTAATTCTAGCGGCCTGCTGCCCTGATCATTGGTTGTCCGAGGATTATTCTATTAATACCATGTGAATGCTGGAGCACTACCCCAATAAACGAGTTACGAACCGAACGCGATCATTCATTCCTTTTCCTATCCTCATCCCTTACATACACACCATTCCACTTAGATTACACTACCACACATATCGGAAGAACAGTCGGGTACGGAGAGCTTATCCCGGCAAAAACGTTTTCCATGGTTTCCCCAATCAACACCAGACAAATGCCGGAACATAGCATCCTAAAAACGGACCACTGACCGCGCGAGGTATTTCCATCTTCTTTCCTGTCGTATTCTCACCCTTTATACTTACACACACTTACACTTACATACTCGACGGCAGACCAGACGGGAGCTTCGAGCTTGTTCCGACAGGGTGGTGTCTTGCTGGTGGGAGATACCTGTTTAGGGAAAACCCCACAAGCTGAAGCGTCGATCGGCGCCGGTTCTCGCTACCCAGCGGCGGGGAGATCTCTGCCACCTCCCGCGATAAAAATCTGCACTACACTCACGGGAATGTTGACTATAGACGTTGTCCCCAGGAATCATTAATCAATCAAAGTTA